CTGTTGCGTAGTCTCTCTGCAGCATTCTCTTCCTGAAGAGGGGAAGAATTAATGAACAGTGCAATTCTTACTTAGAGCAAGAACTGGAAGAGTGAACAGTGTTTAGATTTGGCAGAAGAAATACATCTGTGCTGTAATGTGGTCGTGTTGTACAGGTTGAGAAGGATGATGATGTGAGGGCTCCTTCCTCGATAATATTTTTGCTGCGTGGTTGTTTCACCAGGCATGTGCTACATCCTGACCAAAAGGAAACAGTGCTGGAGGTCACAAGCTCAAACCCACTGCTTTTTGTGCTGTCCCTTCAAATTTCAAGGTCTGCTCAAAGCATACTTTCAAGCTCACTTCCTCCCTCACAGCTACAAGAGCTAGGAATCCAGGGTCCCAGTGAGCTGAAATTTTCAGGCTGTCACTTAATGGCACCAGCAAAGAACTTACATTGTCTTGTGACAGTTTATGGAGTTAAGATTGTTTTAAGCTGCCTAGTATTTAATTTAGTAGCAACCAGTTTATAGTTAAATATTTTTTAAATCAACTTCAGTAGTAGTCAGAGGTACTTTAGAAAATAAGTAGGATAGATGGAAAATCTTCCTGCATTGTGCTATTAACACTAGTAATTTTTAAGGAAGAAAGGAAGGCTTACAAGTGCTATGAAAGAAAGGTGATGGTAGTGGGATCATTTGACTGCCTGGTCCAACAGTTGTAGATTCCTGCAGGGTTTGTTCTGTGGCATCACTGCATCAACTGCAAGTGTAAGTTGGAAGATAGGGTGTGAGATAGTGGCTCATAGCAGATACCACACTGTACTAGAATAAAAACTAATTTTAAGTAATGATTCGCCTCTGACAAGTATGGGGGTTCCCTGCTTCCACCAAGGGAAGAAAATATTAGCCTCAGGTCTTATATAGTTAATAGATCATATACCCAAATGAGTTTTTCTGGTGGGTTGATGGGAGCTTGGAGGAATCTATCTGTCAATAGGAGATGCAGGCTGGTCTCTGAGGTTGTCTTAATACCGTAACAGAGTCAATCTTGTCTAATTCTGTAACTGTAATTCTATCCTCTGGGGGAGGTGGGAAGTTGACCCACAGAAGTTAGCTTAGATTACTATTAAAAAATGCCCATGCATTTTTCGCAGCACTTCCATATCCCATTGCTTGCTTTCAGAAAATTGACCAGCTGACACTGTGATCATCAGGCATGGTCATACAGGGTTCCTTGTTCCTTTCATTGTGTAAATCACTGTAGGGTTTTAAGAAAGAGGAGAAAATGGAATAGTTGAATTCCAGCTTTGTCTTCCCTAACTCTGATTGACATTGACCTAAGGGAGGGAGCCATGTCCTCTGTCACTTGGGTTGATGGGCTTAAATCAATCTGCTGGCTCTTGTGTTGAAGTGAATAAACTGCAATGGACCTGCTGTTTTCCATCTGAACTGTGTCTTCTCAATTCCCTATTTTCTTGCATCTGACTATGGGAATTTTCTAGTTCAATATTTGCATTGTAGGAGTTTGTTTCCCTTTGATTGACTTTCTACAACATTCAGCTGTTTTAAAATAGAAAGGAAGAGCTGGAAGATGCTGTCATGATTAAAAATACTCCCAGAATAATTTCTTCTGTAAACAAGGCAATGTTTACTAAACCAGATTAAGAAAAACAGTCTTCTTAGTGAAGACTTTCTTGGCTACAGAACTTTCTCTCAAACATGGAATGAAGCCAGGCACTGGGGGATGATATGGTAAGAAGATACTTATATAATTAAAGACCATTTGATGTGTCTAAGGGCTGAGTTAGGTACATAAGGGTGTACCTGTGATTGGTTGTTTGGAGCTGGGATGGACCCATTATCACATCTGTACCAGGCTGAGTGTCTTACATAAACACAGAAAGTTGTTACAGATCCCTTATGATCCTGTTCGAAGAATGATGCTGACTTATCTTCTCATGTTTTAATGATTTTTTTTTCCAGGCTGTATGAATATCTTTGTAAATACTTCGCAAGTGGAACAATTTCTTTTCCCCTCTGTGAAAAATACTGTTGCTAATAATATTTTTGGCTTTTAGTCAATCCTTTTTGGGCTGCTTTTCCCTGAATTTTCTCTGTTTTGTAGCTTGGTCTGACTCTTCAGCAAGGTTCTTTCTTACACTAAAGTCAGCAAAATCAGCAATTTAATCAGTTGCTAGTTTAGCAACTTCATCTAAAGAGCTGGTTTGTTGTGTTCTGTTTAGTTCAAATTTGCATTGATTGAATTAGGGAGTAAGGATAAACACTTTAGTGGATGTTTTGGCAAACCTTTTCAAAGCAGGAGTGGGTAAAACTACTAATAGTGAAAGGAAAAAACTATTAGAGAGTGCAGTGTCTTTTTCAAGTAAATAATAGCACCACTTAGGTTGGAAAAGATCATGGAGTCCAGCCATTAGCCCTGCACTGCCAGATCCACCACTCAAACATGTTCTCAAGTGTCACACCTAGATATCTTTTAAATACCTTCAAAAATGGTGACTCAACCACTTCCCTTGGCTGATTGTTCCGTGCTTGACAACCCCTTCAGAAATTTTTTTTTCTGATGCCTAATTTAAATGTCCTCTGGTACAACTTGAGGCTGTTTCTGCTTGTCTTGTCACTTGCTGCCTGGGAGAAGAGACCAACTTGTAGACCTTGCTACAAATCCATTTCAGGTGGTGTAGAGAATGACAAGGTCTCCATTTGAGCTGCTGCTTCTCCAGACACTTCAGCAGCTTTGTCCTTCTCTGGACTTGCTCCAGCACCTCAGTCTCTGTTGTGCAGTCAGGGGCCCATAACTGAACAGTGGGTTCAAGGTGCAGCCTCCTGAGAACAGAGGAGGGAGTGATCTCTTCCTTCATCTTGCTGGCCATACTTGCTGATCCAGGCCAGGATGTCATTGGTCTTGGCCATGTGGGCATGCACTGGCTCATGTTCAGCCAATGCTGACCATCACTCCCAGGTTCTTTTCTGCCAGGGAGCTTTCCAGCCACTCTTCCTCCAGCCTGCAGTGCTGCTTGAGGTTGTTGTGACCCGGAAGAGTTCAGCTTAACCTTGCTGAACCTCCTCCAGTTGGCCTTGGTACATTGATCCAGCCTCTCCAGATCTGCAGAGCCTTCCTGCACTCCAGCAAACCTACACTCCCACTCAGCTTGTTACCTGCAAACTGACAGGGTGCACTCGATCCCCTTGCCCAGACCATATATTTTCTTTAAAAACATTAAACAGGACTGAGCCTTGGGAACCCCACTACTAACTGGCTGCCAGTTGGATGTAACTCTGTTCCCCACCTGTGTTTGAGCTCAGCCAGCCAGCCAGCCAGCTTTTTTCTCCAGTGGAGGGCACACCCATGCAAACCATGAGCAGCCAGTTTGTCCAGGAGAATGCTTTGGGGAATGCTGTCTAAGGCTTTATGAAGGATTTGGTACCCAGAATACACAGCCTTTCCTTCATCCTCTGTGCAGGGCACACTGTCATACAAGGAGATCGGGCTGGTCAAGCCAGACCTGCCTTTCATAAGCCCATGCTGCTAGGCCTGATCCCTCACTTGCCCTGCATGTGTCTTGTCATGGCACTCGAGATTATGAACCATCTGCTGTTAATGACACATGACTGAACTTGGTAGGTGAGTTTTTCTCTATTTTTGTAGTTTTAGGGAAAAGCTCTTACTGAATTACTGCAAAAATTTAGAGGTTGTTCTAGAAGGTGGGAGTGACTATCGAGAGAAATTTGCAGCGATCCTTCAAGTAGAGTCAAGAGAACTGGAGCTGAAAAGTGGCAGTGCTACTTCCCAAAGAGAGTTGAAAGGTTGGAATTGCAACAGCTGCAGCCTATGAAATATTTCTTCCAAAATAGAGCAGGATAGCCTGTGGGACATACTTAAGGTTGATAGATTCTACCTGGTTCATTGTATGGCTTTGTTACTGGTAGGTACTGTTATAAAACCACATCTCTAACTCTACAGCTAAATTCTGGTGAGAGATATGAGTGGAGAAGAATAAGGAAGTACAGCTTGTTGCACTCAAGTAAAGTAATCATGACACTGTTAGGGGAGAAGTGGAATAGTAGCAGGCTATACCTGTCAAGTAAATTTCCATGGTAACTTGTGGCTGAAATTGCTATTTTGGACTTTCACAAGACAGCAACAGTAGTTCATTCATAGCTACTGAAAAGGCTGCTCACTTTGTAAGATATGAGCAATATAGGACTTGATTTTCCTTGGGTCGGTCTTGCCAGATACATGAGTTTCTGTTATTTCTCTGCTTTTCTTTTGCTAGACGGTGCAATGAGGTGAAGACTCTACTTGAAAAATAGACACTTTCTCTGATATTTCTTCATAATTTCACAGGTTCAATAGATGGGATCCTAACCTTTTTTTTCCTCACTTTGTAATGTGCGAAAATAACAATCACTGCTTGAGCAGTGAAGTTTGACTTGTGTCAGTAGCTGAAGACTGCAGGCATAAGCAGATAGTTTCAGTGCAGCTTCAAATGTCAAAACTGGACTTCAGGAACATTCAGTGATCCTAAAAAAGGCAGTAGAAATTTGTGGCAGCTCATACCCTGTTCTGTTTCATTAACATCAGCCTATCTGCCACCTGCACTGTGCCAGTGTTTGTTTAACTGTGTAATTATGGAAAATGATAGCGTGTGGCACAAGAAACAGGAGAAGTACTGATACTTATAAAGGCCAGCCGGTTTCTTTGGGCTGCCAGTGGACAGAAGAGTTCTACTCTCACATGGCCTCAGAGAGAACCTAGACTGAACCCATGCTTCTATGCAGAGAACACATACATGTTAGGTGCAAAGCAGCATTCAACTTCTGGCACTGGGTCTTTGTGAGAAGCCAAAGTGGAAGGATCACCTATCAGACTTCTGGTGGTAGTGAATGTCTGTAATAATAATAACTTCTCTCTTGTAGGTTTCCAGATGCTTTCGAGAAAGTTCATGCATTTGTTCATCTTGTGTTTCAGTTTCTTGTTTTGTTTTTCTTACATTTCAGGTTTATCAGTCATGAAACGAATTATTCTGGTTTTTATCCTGGCTGCTGCTGTTATGTATGGTATCCTGCATGGAAATCTCTGGAGAAATAACTTCTACTGGTATGGTGATGCTTTGTTCATTCAGAGTGCAGACACCTCATGGCTGTATGAGAGATATGGCTGTGAGTTCTTGTGTTGCACCATAAGTGTTACTAGTAATCATCGTGATTAGTATTCTATGTCTGTGTTTTGTGGTTGAGGTCTTTTAGTACTCTGAGGAAATCTATATGATTGTTTTGTCCTGTCACCTGCTTTCCTGTGTCACTTTTAAACCTAGTAATTAATTTGAACCTGGTTGTACGGAGAGGTCAGGACCTCAGTGGTAGGGAGCCCATCTGAGGTTCATGAAAATAGGTGTTCAGGTGAGGAGTTACATAAAGTGAAGAAACAAGGTGTCCACATCTCCCTCTACCCCATTTGGGTTTAGTGTTAGTTTGTTCTATTAAATGTCTCATAAGTGCTGTGGGAGAGGCCTTTTCCACACATGGGAGTAACTGCAGGTGCAGGGGACACCTTTTGAAAAGGTGATTTGTTGAGGCCCAGCAGCAGCCCTTGAGGGCAGTGAGGCTTTACTGTCTCCAGGCTCATGGGACAAGTGGCTTGGGACCTAAAATTTGGGTGACTTACTTGAAGAAGTTGAGTTTCTATTGGTCTTTGCACAGCTGTGACAAGGACTGACCAGACTGTTATGAAGATAAGTGATAATTTTAAAAAGTAGTGGTTTATGTGCTCCCTTTTTCTTGTTTAGGGTGGAGAATTGATACAAACTTTCTGTTGTGGTTTCTATTTACAGCAAACCACAGTGTTGTGACATTTCCCTTTTTGCAGGCTTAGTTTTTATGGACAGACTTCCCCTGTGAGGGCTTCTCCTTCCTATGTGACTAGTGGAGTTACAATCAGTTACAATCAGTAAGTTCAGCAGTTGAGTATTTTTGTGGGGGGGTTGTTGTTTTCTTTTGGCTTTGGATAGGTGGGAGGGATTGAGGCTGAAATCTGTAGCCTTTTTTGACAGGCTACCTGCTCAATTGTACACTTGGGTCCAGTGGCTGTTCCTGTTATAAACAAATGGTAAGGTGTTTGTCAAAAATGAATTCGTCCATGTTACGCTTCCAGTGTTTGTTTAATATTTATGGCCACTTTCAGTAGCTGTCTCTATCAAGCAGTGAATTGTTGGAAGGACATTGGCTTAAAATTTTCAAATCTGTGCAATTCTGAATTATACCTGAATAAAGTTAGCACAGCTTGGAGAGCAACTTCAGTGCTTAAAACTTACTAAACCAGAAGTATCTTTCACTTGTTGCATTCAGGTGTGTGTATAGGCAGCTGTTGTGCTTGTGACTTCCTGCAGTTACATTTGTGAGACTAATAAGCACCCATGCTAAAACTTGAAAGCCGTCCTCTCTTCTCTCTGAAGCTGTGCTGCAAAATGCCATCTGTGAGGCTGATGCTGGAAAGCAGCAAGATGGCCAGCTGATAGATTTCACAGGGTGCTTTCTCAGCGTCAGTATTCACGTAAGAACTTGAGGTTATCAAAATCAGTTAACCTTAATGGTCTCTTTGACTCGTGGTTCTAATGTGGTGGTTTCATCTTTCTGTCCTTTATGCAATCCAGTGGCACATGTTGCTCACACTGAACTTTACCTTCCCTTCTGGGCTTCATATTTGTGATTAATTGGGCTAAATCTTCAAGTCAGGAATGTGCTTAGAAGTGCAAGTCTTAACCTTATTATGGGTGGAAAGACTTATCCCCTGTCACGGTTTGACACTGGCACGATGCCAGTGCCCCCCCATGAAAATGCAATCTCTCAACTGAATGCTGTGAAATGCGATCGAGAACAGAGTAAAGCAGGCCCAAGCCTAATAACAAGAAAAAACTTTATTAAACTACTACCACTATGCTACTATAAAAGAGGGGGAAAAAAAGAAACACACACAATTCAAAATGAAAACCTTCCAAAGCATTCCTCCTCCCACCACCCAACTCCAACAAACCACAGTGAGACACAATCTGGACCCCAATCAGGTTTCCACCCTCCAGATAATCAACACACAGTCCATCTGCAGGGAGAGAGGAGTCTCTCTTGTGCCACAGACCCCCCAAGAAACACAGCTGCCACATCCTGTGCTTCCATGTCACCACATGGCACCGCCCGGAGAAAAAAAGTTTGCCAGTGGTGACCCTCTCCTTTCCATGCACAGTGCTCTCACCACCAATGCATGGATGGACAGACTGCTTTTTAGGATTTTTTCCTTTCAAGGATGCCCTGCCAAGAGGAGAAAAACCAACAGTTCAGTTTTCCATTTTTGGGACCAACAGTCCCCCCCATTTTCCCCTGGGGCCGAGGATCCAAGAACAGAGATCTTCTCTTCTTCCTCTGCGAAGACAGGGGGCACCACCACAACCCTCCTTAACTTTTCTCTGTTCGCTCCACTTCTGTCTTTTCCCAGCTGAAGCATGGTCTTTTTGGCTCACCAGCATCCTCCTAAAATACAGTCTCTCTTGGAGGAGAAAATCAGTTCAATCTGTGGCTACGAAGAAAAAGTCCAGCCAAAAGCCACTCCATCATCTCCTCCCACCTAGAATTTCTCCTTCCAACATCCCAGGTCCCAGGCTGTCTCTCTTCCTCTCTTTTCAAACCAAGGAGGAGAAAAATTTCACAAAGCTTTCATTTCTCAGGAAGGGTTAAAAGTCCCGACTCCCAGAGCTGGCTTGCTGCCCAGGCTCCAGCTCCCACAGGCGTCTGGGCACCTTGCGGCCCCCCCACTCTTCTCCTTTCCCCGCAGTGAACTGCTGGCAAAACCACCGCCGTCTCTTTTTCTCTCTTGGGAGAGAGAGACTCTGGGGGGAACTGAGACATCCCAGATTTTCTCCACCCTTCCATCTGCAGGGGGCCAGCCCGGTTCCAGCCCCTCCACCCTTGGGCCTACCTCTGAAGGCCACATGGCTTCTCCCCTCCCCCACCCAGCTCGTGGCCGGGCAGGGGAGAGTCCTGCACTGACCGCTGACTGGAACCCAAGAGGGCAAGTTTTCCTGGGAATTCTGCTTTTAACCCCTCTGTGTTCTCAGAGGCGTGTCTACCTTCAATTGGTCAATGTCCAAATTGACCTCTTCTTTCCGGAAAAATTCTTTTTCCGTGTCAAACCACGACATCCCCAAAGAATCTAATTTTCATTAAAGTACCCTATTTCCTTCTCCAGACAAGACTTTGTCTTCTCCCTGAGGAGTGATGGGGATGCTGTCTGGAATGGCTGCAGGGGTGATTGAGCCCAGGAGTCCTGCTTCTCTGGGGGTGGGCTTCATTCTCACTTATTATGCCTGCTTTGATACTTGCTGAGCAAAGGAGGTCACAGCCCCCTTGGAGCAGCAGTGTGAGATAAAAGCCTTTGCTAGTAAAAGTAATTGTGCTGCAATGAGAGAGTTTAATCTCTATCACAGTGGGAGTAATGAAATCTTGATGTGATCTGAACACAGTAGTCAGCTTTTACTAATTTGATATGTCCAACTTCCCTTACCTTGTTTCTGCTACCCATTCCTGGTCTTGCTATTTATTTGGAGTTGTTTTTTTGCAGGCTGCCACCTACAGCTGTAGAGAGGAGAAATGCATTGGATACTTGTCTCCTGAAACCAGCATTTGAATCTTTACTGGGGTGAGTCTTTCATGAGAATTAAGGAGGGGAAGAACAGTTGTGTTGATTGAGGTAGAGCTGGGCTGTTTACAAATTTTTGAGCAAATACTGAGTAGTGCCCTGAGATAGCTTGGGAAGATTAGACCAAGAACTGGCTGAAGGAGTCTTAAACTTCTGTACAAAGACACTGCAGCTTTTTTTTTTTCCCTGGTACTTTTTGTATGTAAGAAAATATGGCTGTAATTTTAGTGCTGTTGTGGGTTTAAAGCACATAGAAGCCTGTAAACTTTGTGCCACCCAAAGCGGACTTGTACCCTTTGAGTTTTAGTTAGCTCCTGGGTCTGGTGACATGATCCTAATTCCCTTGCCCATGGATTGTGCCCAGGCTGTGTGTTGGGTGCAGCAGAGTAGCTCTGGGGTTCAGCAGAGTGGCAGGAATGGGCTCCAAGGTACACAGGAAGAAAAAGGTACATGCACAGCTAGGACAGTCTCACACATTCCTGTAACTTCTTTAGAGACAGTTTGCATGAGCTGAAGATCTGTTCTGTGCACTTCAGTAATAGCCTGGGGAGGTTGGAAGGATTTCTAACCTTGCAGAATTATTTATTGGCAAGGAACCAGAGCTAGAAAAGGATCTTTTCTCAGTAGGTAAATTATTTATTATGTCTAAGCTTAGCAGCTGTTTCTGAACAGCAAAGCAGGTTACTAAATTTAATATGGGTATTTAGTGCATCATGTCTCAAAGCTTGGTCTTGCTTAGTTAAGCAATGGCACATTTCTTGGTGTGTGAGCTGTAGTGTTTTGGTTTTGGGGTTTTTTTCCCTTTTTACTGTCAGTATCTTCTCAATAAATAGAGTTTAAAGAATGAGATTGTTGATTTGGGAAACTGAAAGAGAAGGTTTTCTTAACAGCTTTTTATATTCTTAGTGGACAAACAAGTCATGTGCTGATTGGGGCTTTCTATGATTAACATTAGGTTTTCTAATGACTGTGTATTTATGTGTTAACATTTTAATCTAAGACCTAATATGCAGGATCATTACAAAGTCAACCAGTACACTGAGTGTGTGCTTAGTTAATTCAAAGGTGAAGCCAAGGGTATGGTAGCATGTGACATGTTTGTCTGCTGTTCACTCATTTGGGTGGACTTGGCACTAAGGCAGTAAGAGACCTCCTTTCCCTGCTATGAGAGACCCTTTTCTGTGGTTCCTGTCTTTCAAGAAAAGAAGTGACCCATTCTTTTTAGCTCGACACAAGGTATAATGCCATCATGTTCTAGTTTGCAGGAAGAATGTGCTTATGAGGCAAACCTCCTTGTGATCCCCACATGCCATGCTTGTCATCCCAGGGTGGCCCTGGTGTGAATGCTCTGGGATCCTTTCAGACATCTGCTAAAGCCAGGAGATGCACTGCAGGAGCACAGCCCAGCATTTGCTGCAGCTGCTGAGGGCTGGGACCCTTCTAGAGTTAGTCCAGAATATAAAATACCCAAGATGCATGTAATGTGGACATGAGGACTGCATACTATTTTGCTGCTTGGATACACCCCTGTTGCCCCAAACAACTTAATGTCAACACAGTCATATAGTGTCACTTGTTTGGAATAGGAGTGCAGCTCAAATCAGGAGATGCTATTTTCAATTTAAAACATCTTACTTCAAACCCTGTTCTTATTTATTAAATTGCTGTGTACAATAATAACTCAATAACAAAACAACAATTTTCCTTTCTACCTCTTATTATGTACTTTTCAAACCTTAAGTTATTCACTGTCTTCTTTACTCATTGTCTTCTTCAATATGTGATCTTGTGGTATAAGCTTTCAGTCACACAATTTTAATGAGTCTATATAAATTGTACAAACAGACAAATCTTTTATCTCACTCTTTGCCTATATTTTCTGTTACAAGATCTTACCCTTTTCCATCATCTGTTTGCTTTCCCCGTGTTCATGGATTTTTTTTTCTTTTAGAAAATGGATGATAATGCAATAAAAATGCTAACAGTAGGATAAAGAGAGCTTTTTATAAAGCACTTGCATGACTTACTGGCTTATGCAGGTACATCATGCGATTTTGAAACTTCTTCCTTTTTTCCTTCATCAGTGTTGACAAAATATACCCATTCCTGTGCGCTAATGATTTTATCAGAGTGGCAGAGTTCCAAGGGAGCAATAAGTTTGAACTACCTTATGGAATAAAGAGAGCAGGTTTGTATTTCCCATGTACCTTATTTTTAATCAGAAATACCTAATTGGTTTGTAAAGCCACCTGAATCTGTGGCCATGATCTTTCCTGTGCACTGATGCTGATCCTTTTGGGGTGTCTAGCAGTGTCTTAATAGTTTTGTTCAGTCCCTCTGTCCTGACACCTTCATATTTTTAACAAGTAAAACACTGGGTTGGGGTTGCCCCTTCTAGCAGAGAAGCTCCAGAAAGGTGTGAGTGAGGAAAAGTGGACCTTATTCAGCTTCCTTCTGTCTGTATGTGGGCTGGAGTGCTAAAGATACTCAGCTATGCTTTGCTGGGGGAAACACTGAGTCAGTGTGATGGGCTTCAATTAGCACACCTAAGCTGGTTGGAATGCAGAGTCCTACTGAGGCAGAAGTCCTTGGGTTTAGGTGGTTACATCAGTGAAATTTTCCTTTTACTGTCCTGGTTTTGACTGGAATAGAGTTAATTTTCTTCTTAGCAGGTGGTACAGTGCTGTGTTTGGGATTCAGCATGAGAATAATGTTGACAACACATGGATGTTTTAATTGTTGCTGAGTAGTGCTTATTCTTAGTCAAGGACTTCTCAGTTTCCCATGCTCTGCCAGTGAGCAGGTGCACAAGAAGCTGAAGGGAGGATTGCCAGGACAATTGACCCCAGCTGGAAAATGTCTGTTCTGTGCCACAGAACATGTCAGTACTTAAACTGGCAGGGGATTGTCCACGAGAGGCTGGTTGCTCCCTGGGAACTGGCATCCTTCAATAGGTGGTGAGCAATTGCATTCTGCATCACTTGTTTTTCTTGGGTTTTATTCCCCTTTCTCTTTCCTTTTGCTTACAAATTTTACCTTTTTCTGGTTTTCCTGCCTGTCAAATGATGGAGACTGAGTGGCTGTGTGGCACTTAGTTGCCATCTAGGGCTAAACCGTGACACTGAGCTGGCTGCTCCTGCTGTGGGAGGGGCCACAGGGCGGAATTGATGACACTGCCTGGCTGCTGGACCTGTGGGAAGGGAAAGGTTTGCTGGCACGTTCCCACTGCCCATGTTGGTCAGGCCACAGTAAATAGGGCTGACACCCTAAGAGCCTTAGCCACCCTTTTGGAAAGGGTGGTAAAATCTCAAATTTCAGAGTTTCTAACACTAACAGTACACTTTCCTAATCTGGGCTTTAGACTTTTGATTTGCCCTCCGTCAGTGGTAACAGGGATGGTGCATTTTCCTGTACTTTTGGGATTACAGTGAGGAAAACTACATTTGGGAATGAATTTCTCCTCTGAGGCAAATTAAGTGTCCAGCAGAAGCCTGCCACCAGGGGTGGGCTGGGAAGGTGTCTCTGTCTAGCTTAGCCACATTGATTGTGTCTTCTCCAAAGATATGTAATGGTGTTACTGTCCCTGGTTGTATGCACCCTCTTTAGTCAGCTGAAGGTGGGTAGAAGAAAAACCAAAGTGAGTTAGAATGTGGATCTTGGAAATTCTTCCACTTCTTATTTACTGTAACTAAGATTTTTTTTTTTAAATACAGATACCATGTATTTTGTATTTTGAGGCAGAAAAAACTCAAGAGTGGAGCTGTGATAAACCTCAGCTTCTTTGGCAGCATTGGTTGATCTGTGGCACTAAGTTCCAAGTGTTCTTACTTTGATGTTTTTATGCACAGTGCACAACTGTGTTTAAAAACATTGTGGTCAGGGTGGCATACTTATTTTTGTATTGGAGATACTGAGTGTTTTCATTAATCTTGTTTATATTTGCTTTTTAGAGCAATTTTTTCGTTTAGCCCTTTCAAGACTGCAGAACTGTGGCCTTTCCAGTGAAGAAGACAGGTGAAATGGTTTATTTGCTACTGTTTCTGTTAGTTGTGTGTTAATATTTAGTACTTACCTGAAAAGGAATGTCTGTGAAATTGCTCAAATTAGTCAAGACTTGTAGTTAGAGCAGACTTAGAGGGTCCAAGCAGTGTTTAGCTGATTCCAAGGTTTCAGTAGGCTTGGTTTTACACTTCAGTAGTACCAGCATGCAAGAAAAATTATTCTGTGAAGGATCTTTAACTTAGAGATTTCCTTTTATAAGTGTTTGAGAAATTCGCCAGCTGAATGCAGTCCCATCCTCCTGTAGTATCTTTTCACACTTAGATTGAATGTGTCCTCCTCTTTCAAATTCACTATAAGATGGAGAATATTTGAGATAAACAAGTGCAAACCAATATCTGCTTTTAAGCAGAACAAATCTTGGGCATATCCCTGTGCCTCTGATCCACTGGCTGCTGTGCACCCTTGTTCCTACATACACTCAACTTCATTTTCCTTGTGGATGAGGGAGACCTAGGAAGACAAGAAAGGCTGGCTGTTCTTTGGGAGTAACAAGGGTGTGGCACAGAAGGAAGCATGCCTTAGATGACTTGCTTCCCATGGATTAGATAGATTAAATTAGATTAAATCTTTAATTAGATTAAATCTCTTGTTGGAAGCCATGTCTGTCAGGAGGTTTTGTTTTGGTTTAGAGGGCCTTTGTGTTTGTGTGTCTTGGTTTTTTTTGCTTGGCTTTTGTTGGGATTTTTTTGAAGGTAGGGTTGGCAAGTAGACTAAAGTCCTGTGTTTACAAAGTGATGTAAATGATTCCTTAGATTTGCAGTCTAGCAAATGGGCTGACAGCCTGCCAGATGTGATGTTAATATACAGATTTCTTAATAGAGTTGAATGCAAATAATGCTGAGCTTGGCTGTACTTGTTTTTGTTTTTTAGTTACAGAGATAATGAAAGATTGCTGCTTGAAGCCAAATCTCAGGATCACAGTTTAATTAAACTTGGGTGGAATATGTTCAAACCTAAGGATTTGTTACAGTACAGAGTTTTTCTCTTTTTTTCCTACTCTACTCCTTCCTTTCTCTGTGTTTAATCTGTTTCTAGGATATTCAAGTTTACTCTTAAGAAAAGGAAGGAAAAAAGTAAAACTGTATTTTCTATCAAGGGTGTATAATGGGGTAAATTAATACAGAAGAGGCTGACAGAAGCTGCTCTTTTGTCTGGAGTTTGAAGGAGAATGCCAAATGTTATATTAGAAATTCCCTGAAACTGTAAGTTCAAGACTGTAATTGTTTGTGCTGTAAAGCAGAGATGCTTGTACCTTTTAAATGGAAATGCTTGTCCTGTAGAGGAAAAGTGAGGAAATTGGTATTTGTCCTTTAAATATAGATCCACTGAGATATAAATATGATTAGTAGTTCTGGGAAGTATGCTTCATTTTATTAAAAGCAACATACTTCAATGGTACTGAAGCAAAATGAGACCTATTACTATTTAATAGGCAGCAATATAAACAAATCAAGCAGGCAGTGACTTCATAGAATATATTCTTTCCAGATCCATCAGGTTTTGTGTACAGCACTCTTAGGGCTTGAATCACTGTAGTCGGGAAGAGTTGTTACACACATATTTCACTGAGATATAGTGGCTTTTAAAAGTGAAACTCTTTAGGAATTAATCCTAACAACAGAATTATTAAGCGGCTCTGTAAGGCTGTTGTCCAATTCAGCCTTCTTGGCATAATAGAAATCAGATTTCCCTGTAAACTTTTTTTAAGGCAGACAAATATTAGGCTAGATAAGCACAAAGTCTGTGGTGCTTATATAGCTGTATTTGTGTACAACTGAGGTAAATCTGTACAGAGGTGTTTTTTTTGTTGTTGGTTTTTTTTTTTGTTTTTTTTGTCCCCAAACAGTGTCATTTTTCAAACTAAGATCAAATTCTCACTTTGTAAAGGTGTAGCTCTCCCAAAGAGTTTGGAAATGAACAGTATCACTGACTTCAGTTCGATTGTGACTTCAATTCCTTGCTGAGTGCTCTAAGGACTCTGAGCTCAACAGTTCTTACAAACACATTTACACAGTACTGAGTCAACAAAATGTGACCTCTGCATCCTCTTTTCACCAAATAACCTTGAAGGAAATAATTTGCATTCCTCAAGTGACTACAGGGGTGTGTTAAAGGAGCAGAGTCTGAGATCTTTTCTTTTTCCAATGAAACAGTATTTCAGGTCTTCTGACCTTTAGAGGCTACATTTCCATTTAGCAATATTTTTCTTCTGTAGACTAGGAAAATGTTTCTTTTAGCATTTCACCATATAAACAAAATACTTAATCCGAGGCTTGGCCTTCAGATTGAAGATCTTGTGCACCACCTGAATGGGGCAATGGTTTGAGTGACTACTGCCTGCAGACACTGGAGATCAGTTACCATGGTGTTTGCATTGGGATCTGTTTGTATTCTTAGTACATCTCTGACATATAAAGGCAATCCATTTCTCACTCAGACCTTTTCTACAGCTATTGGTACAGCCAAGGTCTTAATATTTTTCACTGTCACAAATATTGTTCTACTGGACATCCAGACATTGGATATTGTATATACTGTTATATTTTAGTTGTAGCACAGCTGATGTTGTTTAAGGATATGTAAACTAATTTCTTGTCAATATATTGACTTGGAGAAAGGGTGCATGTTTGGGGTGTTCAATTTGAAAACAGGAAAAGGAAATTTTAAGAAATGAGGTTGTTAAAGTATCCGGGAGTAACAGTCTGCTGAAAATTAGTGTGTTGACCTCTGATCTGCTGTAAGTACAGATCAGTTTATTTAACTTAAGAACCTTTAAATGCAGTTCAGCCTTGCTACATATTTTTTATCTCTATGTCGTATGTTCATTTTCTATGAGACTATGCTTTGATTTTTAACATAAACAGTTTCCCTCCCTGCTTATTGTTGTTAGTTCGCTCAGTACTACTGTTTGTTTTTGTTTGTTTGACTGTACTTGTGTGCACTTCTTCGGGCATATTTGATCTGCTTGTTGACTTTACCCATTTCAAAAGTTCAAATACTAATTTTAGATTCTTTATTGGGTATTTGATGGCAGCTGCTAACTTTGTTTTTGAGTATGCATATTATAAAGGGCACTGTAATTCAAAAACTTAATCAAACTTCAAATTTCACTCTGTTTTCTGTCCAAGGAGTACTAGTCAACTCTTAGTCATAAACAAAATATAGTCTGCATTCATCAGTAAGAAAAAAAGTTGAATTTCACTTGAGAACAGCTCCACAACTTATATAGCTGAGCAAACCTTAGTTGCTCAGCTCTGAAGTCACATTTTATTTTGCCCTCCCTGCCCTGAGTGTGTGCAGCTGCATCATGACTAGAGAGAGGAGAAAGCAAAGACCTCTTAATTGTATATCAGAGTGGAAGGCATTGTTTCAATGGCTAGAGATTAGCTTGCTGGGCAAGTATCTTAAATCACCTCTTCCAAAAGTTGAAAGGCATGTAATAAGGAATTACTTTAAGCCCATCTACAAGGAACAGAAAAAGCAGCGCTGCCTCAAAGTAGATGCCAAGACACATGATAGAACCATATGCTAATCCTATGCTTTTTGCCTCTCATTCACTCCAACTTCATCACTTACTGATTATATTTTTTCATCCAGTGTTCCCTTTTCCATCCTTACTTTGAGCTCTAAGGAAAAGGGCAACTTCTGCTTTCTTATTCTTACTGCAAATTGTAAGAGGCATATGTTCATCAGCCTGCTTTGTTAAGATACTTTTAAACTAGATAGAAAAATAAAATGGAAAATGAATGGGCAAAAGGAGTATAGAGGGAAGGGATTTAGGTGTGTAGTGGGAATAAGTGTACTGCAGACAGGATGGTATAACAGGTTTTCATCCCTCTAATTTTCAAGATACCTGGTCACATGAGTTATGGTATTAGCTGGAAGTCATTTAATGCCTTCTACTAAGCTATTCAGGAAACAGGAGAGAAATGTATGCCAGCTTTTTTCATGTCACCCAACCCTGAAAGCCGCATTTAGAGCACTGGTTTTATTTATATATGTATATATATATATGTATGTATGTATGCGTGTGTGTTTATGCATATACATATATATATTTAAAGGCAGCTATCTTTGCAGATGTTGTTAATTCTGTAGGAAATTCAGTGAACTGCTTTGTCCATTGAGATGTTGCTTAGTCTTGGCTGGAACCAGCTGTTTTCATTGATGTTGAATAGTAACTCTGAGCTGAAAAAACGAATTGGAGTGTTTGAAGGGAAAGAAGTTAATTAGTCTGCATGAAGTGCCATGCTGGGAATTCAATATAAGTTGTAGTGTTTTTTGAGACACAGTTTTGGTGTCCTGAACCTGGAGCAAAAAGTGGTATAGAGCCTTTTTATTACTTGAAGAAAGAACTAAAGGAATGGGGTGTTACTGTGAGGTGATTCATATTTTCTCATTGTTCTTGCTGCAACTAAATTGAATGGCTTTTGCTCTAAACAAATAGGCATTTTTACAACAACAAGAAATTATGTGCTTATTCTGAAATAAGTTTGCAGTCTTACATACTTGATTTAAACCTTTCCTAAAAAGGCAAAACATACTGAGTAAAAAAAACAGCAAGCCTGTTTGTGAGTTCCCCTCCTTTTTTTAGCAAGTTTTGCTAGCATTGAAACAAGATGGTAAAAGCTAAATATGTACTGAAAAACCTGTGACAACTTTGAAAATCTTACCCTTAGAATTAACTTTCATAAGTTTAACATCTCCATAATACCTATTTTGCATGCTTTTTATCTCTGAATGTATTGTAAATTCAAACTTTCTCTTTTGATTTGATGTAGTGTAAAATCTTATTTTTTAGCACATGGTATTTTATAGGCCTGGTAATGCTGTCTCATTTGAATCTGATAGGAGAACGCAACCTTTAAGCAAGGAACCAATCTTGTTACATTATGACAGTACACACATCATTTGTGTAAACATGTTTTGACAGCACCTTTTAAGTAAAGCTGTCATGTGTCATTGGGCTAAGATTTTCACATTTACAGTTCATAGGCCTCTAAGGTGATTTGTGAACATAAATTTTGCTGCTTTTAGCTTCTGTTGGAGATGTGGAGTTGTATAATACTGCAGAAGCACCTTAATGTTGAGTTAGCTTTTCCAGACTGGTATAAGTTTGAAGGACTGGGGCAAATAATTGATCAAATGGCACCCATATCATGAACTGGTTAGATGATCTGAAGCAGCAGACCTCTAGAAAAAGGAGAAGTGTAAAAACAGTCTCCCAAGAGAGAAGCCAGTTACTGACTTTGTCAGTTCCTGAAATAGTGCTTTGTTTCTTTTTTTTTTTTTAAGCAGCTGTAGTACATGATACAGGATTGAATCTGTTTTGTAGGGGCCAAGGGCTGCAAAAGATACAGGACCTCACATAGAAAATAAGCCAGTTAACATGCAGAAGTATCATAAATACTATGAAGTAAGGGAAGTCACAAATATCAAAACTTCTCTTTGTTCACAGCATTCCCTGTCGACGGTGCGTTGTGGTCGGTAATGGAGGAGTTCTTCGAAATAAGACATTAGGGGAGAAAATTGACTCATATGATGTCATAATAAGGTAAATGCTATCTCCTTTTCATTTTGTGTACACAGAGCAGAGGGTAATTCTCCAAGGCCAAGTACTGTCTCTGGCCTTCTCTAATGTGTGTGTGTGTGTGTTGGAGCCAAATGAGAAGATTTGCTTTCTGTCAAGTGACACACGATAAGCAATTGTGTGACTATATTCTAAACCACCTTGGAAACATTCCCATGTGTGCTTGATCCCTCGGAGTTTAGCGGGTGAGTGCACCTGATAATGGCTCCTCTGCTGTGTAACATGATACGTAAATGCTGGGCTGCTGAACTTTCCTGTACCCAGACCCAGTGGGTGTCCTGCAGAGTAATAACAAGTGTGGCAGCCACTGCACAGTAGGAACACAGGTAGGGCAGTCACTGATGTCTCTGTGCCTCTGTCCTCTGCAGAATGAATAATGGCCCTGTGATAGGATACGAAGAGGATGTTGGGAGGAGGACGACTTTCCGCCTTTCTTACCCAGAATCTATCTTCTCAGATCCCATTCACTACGACCCCAATACCACTGTTGTTCTCATCGTCTTCAAACCACGGGACTTGAAGTGGCTTTGGGAGATACTTGGTGGTCAGAAAATAGTGAGTTCAATTATTCATGTGCCTTGGCTCATCTTGCCACACATCTCTCCTGTGAAATACACATTTGATTTTAACTGTAGACCTCCCAGCTGAGAGGAGTTCTGGATCTCCTTGTAGTCAGTTTATTTAATATCCCTCTTCCATAAATACTTTGTCTTCTTTCTAATGCACATATTTGATTAGTTCCTCACCACAAAGCAGTTTACTTTTGGGAAATATATTTTTATCCTCTCTCTAGTATTGTTTGATATTTTAACATGCGTGCTGCAGACATTTCACAGGTTATTTTACCCTGTGCACTTGCAGGAATTGCAGAATAATGTTAAAAGTGACCTCTCTCAAGCGGTCTTAAGTCCAAAATATTTTTTAGTACTTTTCATTAAGGGCAGGTTCAAAGACATACTGGGTTCTCAGGGCACTGTCTGAGTAAATTTAGAGTATTTCCAAGGATATTTCTACACTGTTTTAGTACTTCAGCACAATTGCAGGAGAAAATTTCTCCTCATCCTTTCATTGTGTGCCTCTGAGAAGAGTGTGATCTCATCTTTGTTAACCCCTTCCAGATAGTTGAAGATGGACTGAACAAACCCAGCCTGCTCAGACCCTTTTTGTTTGCTGTGAGCTCTGGCCCATTGGCTGTTGTAGTGACCTTCTGCTGTTTGACACTCTCCTGCACAGAGGGGAGCCCAACACAGCATTTTTGGGACTTCAGAAAGGACACAGTGCAAAGCAGTTGAGAATGTCTGTGCTCTTACTAAGATGGCCAGCACACAGTGAGCATTTGTGGTCTCTGGGGCATATTGTTGGTACGTGTTGTCCAGCAGGGACCATTCTGCAAAGCTGTTTTCCAGCCAGCTGGACACAGCTGCAGCAGTGGGTTTCCTGTTGCAGGAGCAGGTGTTTTGAAACTTAGGGAGATTAAGCACTCTTCTTCTTCTTCTTTAACCTCATGCTCTTGGAGTTTATACTGGTTAGAGTTGCTACAAAAATTCAACTATTTTCAGTTGTTAAAAATGTGTATTTACTTGTCTGTCACAGAGCGCGAAGGGCTTTTGGAAGAAACCAGCTCTGAATATGATCTACAAATCAAGTCAAATCAGGATTCTTGATCCCAGCATCACCAGGAAAACTGCCTATGAGTGGCTTCATTTCCCAACAAGGTTTCCTAAGAAGGAGGTGCGCTTTTTCTTTTGTCTCTTCTAGTTCTGTGCAACCAAATGTGTATTTAGAGGCAATTTTATCTTCATTATGGTGGACTGTAATGTAGAAAACATTTTAGGTTTGCATTAGTGTGCCATTTAGATGGTGGTTTAAAAAGATGGGAAAATGGAGCCCAGAAAGAGTGCCTAGCCTTATGTGCCAAAAGTACCTTTTTATGGGTTCTGTAATTGGTATGAAATAAGACTGCTTTCTAGACGGACAAAATGCCTTTCACAAAACTGGGGAAGACAGGCAGGTAGTGCAGCATGACAGATTCAAAGTGCTTCTAGAAATAATAGGGAGTCTGGAACTACTGAATATTGGGTGTTTTTCCTAAAAAAAAAAAAAAAAAAAAAAGGCACACAAAATAACAAACAGACAAAAAAACCCCAAACAAACAATGAAACCTCCACCAAAAACCAAAACACCAAAACCTCCCTTCCAAGCCCCAGCAAACTGGTAATTCTAGCTCTCTGCAGTTTCATCCTCCTGGGGCTGGGGACGGACTAGGGAACACAGAAGATATTCCAGCCCTGTGCTAATGATGAATGTGTGGTGGCATGGTTGTGCTTACTGATTTGATGCCAAGCATTGTAATGAGCTAACCAGCAATTTGGGCATAAAAATACATTTTAATTGTCAGTTCTTTACAGAAAAATATTTTTTACGAAAAGTAAAGCTTCAAGCTGGGAACCTCCCTTGCACAGTTAGGATCAGCCTGTGCTGTTTTGCACAGAGGCAGTTAACATGGGGACACATCCCCACTTCACCAACACCACCCAAGTGACACATGTGGAAATGTCAACAGGCTGTCACTATGGAGTATCTGCCACTATTTTTTTTCTGGTTTACTCTTTCTAATATTTAAGGGGGTGGTATGGGGTTAGGTTCTGTACCTCTTTCTAAAATTTCTTTCTGTTTTCTGAGCCTAATAGTGCCTTTTTTCTCCCTTACTAAATCTCAAACTGGAATAGTCATTTTGGTATGTGCTTGCTTGGGCCTCTGCTATTTCAGGTTTTCAGCCAAGGGTGGCAAGAAAGCAGCATAGAAATTGGATGCCTGACGAATCTCCTAAATGGCCACAGAACATGCATGGCCTCCATGGGTCCAGAAGTCCCTCCTGACTCTTCTGGGGCTCCCCTCTCAGTGGGAGTAGATGTTAAAAGCAGTGCTGTCAGTGACTCAGAGAGATGTGCATGGTGTCAACTGATACAGTGGCACAGGCCACTTGGTCACCTTTTGCTCCTCTCCTGCCTTTGAGTGCCCCTGCACAGAGCTAGGTTAGTGTCACCATGCCTGGAGTCCCCTTCTGCTACCTCCATATATATCCTACTATTGCATGCCAGGGGTTTTGCAGTTCCTCAGGCCTGTGCAGCAGTGATCAATCTCAAACAAATCCTTCCTCCCTTTTCCTCCTGTCTTGTGGCTGGGATCCTGCACATTTGCAGTGGCCCTGGCACAGCTTGGTTAAGCTGCAGGTCACACCAGGGGCTCTGTGGGTGCGAAGGTCTCATACCGGGGCCCTCTGTAGCACTGCTTGTCCCTGGGAGGGCTGCTGCTGCCTTCACTGTCCTATGCTTCAGCCCCCTCTGCCTGCAGGACATGCCAGCAACCACTGTTGCATTCCCTGCTGTCCCTGCCTTTCCATTAAACCAGTCTCACGTTCCCAGTGAGCACATTACTGTACAGCCAGCAAGCATTTCTGATAGTTAGTAGAGCCAGGAATAAAATTGGATGTGTTGCCTCAGCACCACTAAACTCAGAAAGTGTAGTGGAGTCGTTTCAGGGCTGTGCCTATTCTCATTAAACAGGCTGAAAATACTTAATTACAGGTGAAGGATATCTGGATATTGCATGATAGTACATTTTAAAAGTAGTTGCTTTTAAATTATATTTTTTGAGGTGAATTTTATGATAGTTACAGGTGAACAGAGCTAGTTACAACCTGTGGTATTCGTGGTATTTCCAAATAGCACTAATCCTGACAGGTAGCATTCCTGCTATAGTATTGGGGTCCTATTTAGTATGGATGTTGCAACAGAGTCACCACTAAGTTTATGATGTTGGGCCCCTAGGGCAGAAAGTTATTTTGCTAACTGGCAGGAACCCTGGGCATACTGCACATTTTAAGCAGATGCTATTTCTGGAATACTTCAAGAATTGCATAAAGTTACCAAAAAATTTTCCCTAAAAGGCAATAATTCTTTTCTGTGATTTCAGTTATGCTTGAAAGAGCTGAGAATAGTAACTTCTTCTTAGGGATTTTTTGTGTTGGCACAAAGAAATACATTGAGTGCATCTGCCTTTTCTATGCACAGAGTTGTCTAGTTCTGGTTTGTCTGCTTCTTTTTCAGAGAAAAAAACTGAGCCTTGGGGTCAGAGTTCAAAAAAAAAAGCCCATGATTTTGAGCTGAGTTTGAGGTTTGACTGCAGCTACCAAGAGCGTACAATAGGTTATTTGGTCTCTGAGAAAACTATTCCTTTAGCTGAGAAGGATACTGTTGCCTGAAAGTTTTGTCCATTTCTAGGGACACCTTTTTACTTTAGCTTCATCTTGGTTGAATGAATGAGTTCATCTCTCTCTAAAAAAACTTGTCTCATTTACTTCCCCAGATCATATTAGCCTCTGCTGCTACTAAGGAACTCATGTATCTGAACACAAGATAGGGCAGAAGTTGCATGGAGTTCTTCTGTGCTTTTGTGAGAAAAGCTACCTTTTGGTTAGGTAAAAAGCTACCTTTTGGTTAGATGCTCTTAATTTTGCACAATTACAAGCTGTTTATGACATGCTCTTCATTTTACATTGCATTTACTTCTGAATTTATTGTAGGAAGAAATAATTTTATTTACAATTTCGTTTCTTCTAATTGGGTTAGCAGGAAAAGGTCTAAAGCAAAGTTCTTTTGGAATTTCCCTGCTTTGAAGAAGTGCATATTCAGTCAAATTTGTGTAGCCACAGCCTTCATGTTTTTTTTAGTTTGTTGCTATGAAAATTTGGGCACATCATGTTCTTTTCATGTGGGTTTCCATCATCTAGCAACTTCTGAACACATCTCATAATTCAATAAAATTTGAGGGAATTGTAAATTGTTTTCCAGTATAGTGAAGCCTGCCCAGTTTTATGAAAGTAGCTGAGCAGAGCAGTGGGGAGACCTTCCTGATACCTCTGTGGAGGGAAGGGCTACACTGTAGGCTCAGCTCTCACTAAAAACCAAGGAATTCCAGGGAAGGCTGATATGACAGACGCCCCAGTCATGGGAAACCTGTGGGAGCAGTAACTTATTCCTTTAGAGACAGGAGGGGATCAACCTGTGAAACCAAACATCTATAGAAGACTTAGGCTGCCTAATTTCCCTTGTCTCTGTTCTGAAAGCTGCCAGGTATGTATGTGTGTGTTCTCTTTGTGTTTTGTTGCAGAAACCCAAGCATCCAACAACGGGGCTAATTGCCATTACACTGGCATTTCACATATGCCATGAAGTCCACCTGGCAGGCTTCAAGTACGACTTCACTGACAGAAATAGCTCTTTGCACTACTATGGCAATGAAACCATGTCTCAGATGATGCAGGTGAGTAACACTTGTTTGTGCTGAGAGAAATAGAGCTGGTCACTGGGGAAGGCATTTCAATATAGATAGAAGTGTGGACTGCAGGTCAGAAGGGTCTCCCACCTTCTCCTGGTTCAGCTGCTTGTGAGTTAATGTTGCTTGAATCTCTTCCTGTCTGCTGTTGTTTCTGAAAGATGTAGATACTGATCTTTGTCCCTTGTGCTGTACCATATTCTGCAGTGTCTGCATGAGTTGTCCATTTGTGTGTTGTGCTCTGCTTTGCTGGTGTTTTCCTTAGGCTGCACAGCTCTTGTCCTAGAGATGTCTTTGTCAGCACCGTGAGCACATGAGCAGTGTTGTTTCTCTTCATGTTCTCTTTTTACTTTTCCTACTGTACTGTATGTCATAGCTGTCAGACTCCTTAAAAGGCAGAAAGAAGAGTAAAGGGGAATGGAAGGAGTTAGGACCTATGAACTTGTATATGTCTTGCATAGGAAAAGAACTGAATTTTGGAAACTCAAAGTAGAAAAGAAAAGCAGCTCTTGGAGGAGGGTAGGAAGAGAAGGAACTGCTTCTAGGAGAGGGAAGGCACAACTCGGCAGGAGAGGGAGCAGCAGGAGCCTGGAAAACATCAGGAATGCCTTCTCTTCCCTGCTGCTTTGCTAAGGCCATGCCTCTGTTTTCTTTTATGTCTCTGCTCTTTTATTCACTTGTCTTCATCTCTGCATTTCAAGCAACCCCGTCTTAGCCCTTCACTGCAGTGTGAAGTTTTATTTGCCATTTGCCCCAAGCATATGAGTACCATTTTCCTCCTCTTCCATTTGCTGAAGAGGAAGGGTAGAGACAATGCCCATAGGAGCCTTTCATGTTTTTCTCAGAACTCCTAGATGCCTGCTATTCTGAGATAATTTTCCTGTGACACTGAACTTGCCTTCCTTTGGAGTCTCCTTTCTGCAGGTGCTTTTCTGCAACATATACTAAGTTTAAGTAAGGCTGATAATTAGTTGAATAGACATCCATAAGTTTCCTGAGTTCTTGAAACTTAAAAAAACAAACTATTAAACAGAAAGGTTCCTTTTAGTTCTTTAGTGACAATAAATTGCAAATACTATACTACATCTGTATAATCTTTTATGCAGTATACATATTATATTCATTTTAATTTACAGGATTCAGTGTCTTTAAGTAAATTTACTTACCTTGTGCTGCCCTCCACTAACCTTAGTGGTCTCCTATGTATCCAGAACCTGGATACAGCACAGAAGATGTGTTGCTTTGGGCTTGCTGAACCTAATTGGCAGGATGCATCTGAACACAATGCCTGATGTGCTTTTCAAGAGCCTGCTCTGAGCTTTGAGGATTACTCATTTTCTTACTGCTTGTGCTGTAAATATTCTTACACAGCTGTTGTTCTGAATAAGCAGGGCAAGGAGTTGGGAAAGTTAATAATGGGAGGATTTCTGTGAGACCACATTTCACCTGTTCTTATCACCAAAGGATCATCCTTTTTGGTTGTGTCCTTATGGAAATATCTTATCTAGTTTTGAGCATCCTGTTTTCTTGGGAAACTGTGCTAAGCCTTTGCTAAGAAGTCTTTTCCCCAGACCTTTTCTGTTCTTATCATCTTCCAAGTATCACAGGTAATAGAAAGGAATAGCCAAGTGATGCTGCTAGTTATAATTTGATTTTATAATTAATTTTATTATTCCCTCACATCTCTTTAGAATGAATACCACAACATCACCGCTGAGCAGAAATTTTTGAAGAAGCTTATAGACAAGAATTTTGTGGTCAATTTGACCTGAAAGCTGAATGGAAAATACAAAGAACAATCACTATTTTCAAGATTTGAAAAATTTTAATTTTTTGTATGGCATTTTCATTTTTTAAGTGCAGCATAACTGTTTACTGTTTAAAGGAGCCCAGAAACCTCATCAAGGCAAAAGTGTCTAAGCCTGAGGATAATGGACTGTTGCAAACAGAGTTAACTGAATTTCTGTGAAGCTTTTTAATAGTGGGAAAACCATGAAACTTATCAGGGATATATAAAAATGTGATGTACATCACTTACTTACCAGTGAGAACTCTTTCCAAATAATTAATTCTCTGGAATACTTTTGTTTCTGATGTTGTCCTCTGAAAGAGTTCCACTGTCAAGAGACTGAGATGACCAGTGGTCAGTCAGCAGGTAGATGTAAAGTCGTGACTACCTGTCTTGTTGTATGAAAACTGCTTTAAAACTATGCATCTAAATCATTACTGTGTGTTTTGGAGAAGGGGGAAACATACAGACTGTACAGGTTTTGTTCTGCCATACTCCTGAGGAGAGGATATCCACCTTCAGCCAAGCAGCCAGAGCTTCTGCACTGACCATCACCTCTGAGCTTCTGTCTGCCTTTGCCGAAGGTGAAGACCCTTTGTCCGATTTGTGGAGATGTTGGTGTTGACAATGCTTGTGTTGTACCCATTTTATGGAAAAATCATACTCCCTGTGCTGTGCATCCAGTAAATTTTACAGTTGCTGACTTGACTTAAAAAAGAGGGGATATGAAGACTGAAGAGCTGCGTGTCAGCCCCCAGACTACAACAGAAACAGAAGCTTGGACAGAGATGTTCATGCCTGAGTTTAGAGTCAATGTTTGTTGGAGTCCTAGTTCTCCAGGACAGCATCTCATGTATTTTTTTTTGCTTGCTCCTCAAAACAGGTGTATTTTTCCAAATGAGGATAATCTCCTTCCTCAGATGCTGTAATGCATCAATACAAGCAAGGAATGTTCCCATTTTTGGCAGTAGAGTGTGGTAGGGAATATCCAGGATGTACCCTCAGCTGAATTATCATTTGGCATCTGTTTACCTCTTCTGTGTTGATATTTAAGTTTGAAGTGTGTGGCTGAACTAAATCATTTAGCAGTGGGAACTTACTCAAGATTTTAGTGGAAACATTTAATGAGACACTTATATTTCCTGTATTGGTTTGTCTCTGACAGGCCTGTGAATAAAATTAAATCTGCTTGGGAAGATGCTTGACAGCTGTCAATGAACAACAATATGCAGTCCCAATATCTCACATGACATCTATATAAAATTTTTATTTTAATTATGGCAGAATTTCTGGAAGATTTTGTGGTTATCTTCATCAATCAAACCTGAAGAAAGCACAAATAAGTCAACATAAAAAAGTCTTTGAAGTTGGTAGGAATACCGTTGTTGCTTTTAAATAAAATTATATAGAGAGGGCGTTTAGAAGTAATGCAAACAATCACAATATGAACATAAACCATGGTATTTGTTATTTTCAGAAGGTGAGGATTGCAAGAGTACTAAACACAATTTATTTATTTTGCTGTAGCTATGTAGAGGAATTGCAGTTCAGGAGTTAGGGGGAGCGCAGTGTGGTCTGGAGAGGTGCCACAGCTGAAGGGGAGGAGGCTTGTGTTTTCACCCAGTGATTCCTGAGCTTTGGTTTGTTTCAGGCAAGCTGGGCATACCTGAAATAACTTGAGAGATCAGAAAAATCTGTGGCATGGGCTGGGGAAGGATATCCCAGCAAGGGACAGGGTGTGCCACGGTGTTTTGTCAGCTGCATGTTGCTTGGCTGCAGCTGCACTCCAGCTGTGTGCAGGGTGGCAGGTGGGGATGAGGAGGAGAGGAGAGTGTGTCCCCAAGTCCTGGGGTGCTGGAACAGGTGACACTGGTGGTGGCAATGGAGGAAATCACAATTTCTTCACCAACTGGCAGAAGGGCTCTTAATTTTTTGTATTTCCTTTATTTTTTCCTGAGATTTTGAAGAGATCTTGAAAGAAGAAGCAGCTTGAAAATCTCAATACAAACAGGTGGGGTTTCACTTAAGAAAATAGTGACAGTATTGTCTTTGTGTCTCTACCAGCATTTATTTCTCCTGGTTATTTCAGTTAATTAAAAAGGTTTGTATGTGATTCTGCAGCCCCAGACCAACAGTGATTTAAACTCCTGACAGTAGTAATTCCACTGCGCAAGCTGCTGTGGCAGAGATTTTTGCAGACATAGCAGTGTTCTCCAAGCTGTTGTGGAGGAGCCCCTGGTACATCTTAGACTCTGGTGAGAGCCAAGGCCAGCAGAAGTGGGAGGCTTGCTCTTCACCCTCAAAATCTGCTGTTGCGTCCAGAGCTGGGCCCCCTGGCTCTCCCAATGGCTGTTGCTGTGGTCCAGCTACATCCATGTAACATCTTGCAGGATGCTGTCCAGGAGGATTTTTTTCCAGGAGAGCTGTTGAATTTGTTCCAGACACTGTGAGGAGAGTTCTTGTGGTGCAGGCTGCATCCCTTTGCTTCTTCACCTCTGTCTCCAGTTCCAGGAAGTGGGTAGGGAGCTGTCCTTTTGAAGATGTGGTTATTTTCTCATTTATTTATTTTTTCATCTCCAGAGATACTCCTTCCACTAATCTAAACTGATTCTTTCTCTTTTTTCTAGTAGGTTTTCTGCTTTTTTGGGGAGGATGGGATTTGGATTCTAGCTGTAGCAGAACAAATAATAATAAAAAAAAAAAAAAAAAGCAGCTTTGTGGCAAAGAAATGGTGTCTCCCAAACTCTTAGTACTTAAAAAAAAAAAAAATCCCTTTAGTCTTCTTCACTTTTGCCACATCAACTTTTTGATCTCCCTGAAATATTTTTTTTAAATAATGTTTGGTGTTCTCAATGAATTTAATATGTTATCTACAAGCATTTATCCATATCAGCTGTTCATTTTTATATCCTAATAAGCCTTCTTATGGTATGGCTGACTTTTCAAATAAAGCAGTATTTCAAGGATATTTTTCTCCCACTTCTATGCTCCTGCCAGGGGTGTTGAGTCCCCCACAGTTACTGTCCCTGAGTGAGTGGGTAACATTTTGAATAAAACCTGTTCCCTCAGGATCAAGCCAAGAGCTGATGCTGCTGATAAACTATGGGGTATTTGTATTGGATGCTTGTTGTTGTTGTTGTTTGTATGTTTGTTTGTTTGGGTGGGTTTTTTTTCTGTTTTGGTTGGTTTTTTTTAAGCCCAGCTGGAGGCCAGTAGCTTTTTTCTATAGTAAGCAGTGGGCCAAGTCATGAATTTTTCTCCCCACAAGATGTTTTGTAGGATCCTGCATCCACCAGCCCTGTTCCAGCACCTGCTTCATGTACATCATTCCTGCTACTCTGTCTCGAGGACAGGTCTTGCTTTGAACTTCATTCAGGCAGGAACACCCATGTGTAGTGTGTTTCTCAGCAGTGTTCACACATTAGTGTTTCTTCTGTCTGGGCACACATTTTCACAGGTGTTTTGCAGTACCAAAGACTTAACTTGGGGCTTTTGGAATAAAACAATTGTACTAACACCAAATATTTAGATAGTTTCTGAGCCTGAGCTGCTATTAAGACTTTTTTTAACCTTTTTGCCATTCCTGAAAATGAAATCTGCACTGAAACTTCCCTTTAAAAGCTATCCAGGTTTTTATTATTTAATATCAGGAATGAAGCCACCAGTTTTGAATACCAGGGTGCTGCCAGCTTTATTTCTGTGTCTGATAATGGTGTAACTGTGTAGGTCCCCAGTGTCTCCCATTATTTTTCTATCTGCAGTCAGATGTTCTCCTTCCTCCCTTCTTATTCTGTTCTTGTTCTCTGGCAGCCTGCAGAATTTCTGGACAGCATCACCTTACAGCAAAGGTGCTTCTGCATTTTATCTGCCACCCCTCTCAAAATGCTGCACTGTCAGACAGACACAGCTCTAAGATACCAAACTATGCACAGAACAGGTAGGATGACATATGTTGGCTGAAAGCTCTGTTTGGCTCAGACTTCCAGGAGGTTTCTTTGTTGGGAAACTCTTTTTTCCTCTGCTGTAATAATTAAGGGAAGTCACAGACTATTGCACTAAATACGAATCTGAGAGTGCCTAAAAGATGTTACTAAAAGACATTTCCAGTGACTGTATAGGTGATAATAATACAGAATCACAACTTTGATGTTTAATTAGCATGTGGTACTTGTTTCCAATACTTTCCTTTTTAGCAATGCTCTGGGGGAGAGTATAAATACCTTCACTTTGAAGTGGACTCTGATTTTTAAGAACATACAAAAGCTTAGCATATGTTTTTGGTTTTGGGAAATACTTATTTTAGTTGCCATTTTTCTTAAGTTTTATATGCCCTTAAAGTGCCACCTGTATTTTGAAGAATTCTTCAAGTTGTTTCAAGTGAAATTTTGAATACTACATATGGAAGGAAATTATTTTCCTGTGAATAAACTGTTAAAGACAGTGTCCTCAGACTTATTTTTGCAAGGCTGGTGCTCTGTGTGTGAGTGTGGTGTGTGGGTATGCCCAAGGATGTTATTATTGGTGTGCCAGATAAATGCTGTTGTCAGATATGGTATTGAGTTTTGGAACAAACTTTAGTGCTTTATAGAGCAAACAGCTGAAAGTTTTTGAACCTAGGTGGGCTAAGTTACTGTGGCTAGAGATCTAACTCCAGGCTGACTACAGCCAGAGCTGGGACATGTTTTTTGTGGATAAGATCAAGAGCAGCATCCTTGTGATTTGAATTTTTCATTGTTTTTTGAATCTTGCTTGTCTTACTGTGGACTGTTGGGGGAATGCTAAAATATGAGACCTAGAATGAAGAAGATGGTGTTTGATTAAAACATTTCAGAAAGTGAAAATGGCTTTAGATAGATAGAAAGTGAGAGATGCTGAGTGCAGTATTTAGCTAATTATTTGTTTTTCCTTTGTGCAATAAAAATAAGATGCTGAGGGCTTCAGGGAGTCCAAGGGAAATTTATATAACAATTCTCTGGCACAGTAAGTATTCAGTGCATTCTGTATTCAGTATGGGTAGTTCAGGAATTCACCACCTTGGACGAAATGCTTGCCTTTGAGGTGAGGTGGGGAAGCCACATCAGGAGAACCAGCACCTCTCATCCTGGGCAGCCAGTTCTGCCTCTTCAGGCAACAAAAGCCCTTAGCAGCAGCCTCTGATTCCTTGGCTGCCTGTCTGCCTTCTTCAGTTGCACTCCCATGTTGGTTCATGCTGAGCAGTATCTGACCCCAAGGGCTGCCTGAGGGAGCCCCTCCCTCTTCATGTACCTCCCAGACCCTGCTGTGCCCTCCCACCAAATGGGACCTGTTCCCTCTCTGGCTTAGAGCATGTTTTGCCAGGAGATGGGAACTAGAGAAAAGGGTGTATTTCTTAATTTTTTCCCCATATATCAGGCTGTCAGTGGTTTCAGAGAGCCCTTGTTGTCTGAAAATGAGTCACCAGGATGAATGTTCCTTCTGATAGTTCTGAATGAAGACAGAATTGGTTTTTGGTTTTATTTTTAAAGATATTTAATAAGGTGTTTCTTTCAAATCAGTACAAAAATTTTAAATACAAAATTATTTGCTTTTGACACATCTCATATATTCTAGGAACATACTGAAGTCACGAGTGTCTGGTAAACTGTCTGTCCATTCCTGCCACCGTTCCATAAAATTTCTGAGATAAAGCACCACATTATATCACTGGAGTCCTTAGTCAATGTTAGACTGCATTAAACTTTGCATTTAAATAATGGTAATGCCAGTTAAATCCAATCTTAGTTCTTCATGAAAAAATCTAGTTCATTTTTGAATCAAAAGCTAAAGACATGGAAGAAGTGATGAGCACTTAACTCCTTGAACTAGCGCAGCTGTGTGTGCTGTGCAGCACTGTACAGGGAACCACAGCAAGGGCCACTGCCCTCTGGAAACAGAACACTTGCTGAGGTGAGATTAGCACCATTGATGAGCAGACAGAGACTCTGTGCACAGAAGTCGCTGTCCTCAAGTACAGAAAAGTATTGAGGCCTGCAGGTTCTTCTTGACAACGGGTAACATATAAATAAGGATTGGAAATCAGCTTTTAGATAGAACCAAGTTCTTGGATAAATTTGTGTGATCAGTATTGCCAGAAAAGTTATTGGTTGATATCAAGCAACAAATCAGTTAAGCAAACAGAGCTACTTCTGCTTTGCCTAGTCATTGAAGAGCAAACTGATTGAGCTTTTGCTGAGTGGCAGAATAGGTGTATCTTCTAACAAGCCAAATGGGTTCTTGGTACAAGCACAGAAATCCAAGCAGATTTTTGCCACCCTGAAGTATTGCCATGTGTTGGCCAAAATGTCTCAAAGACTTGGCAGAAGTAAATCAGGGAGATTGACCTCATCTACTTGAGCTGTGTGAATAGAGAATAGAGACTTTTCAAGTGCTATGGCATTTGGAGGTGAAACCAATGCCTGCTGAAGTTTGTGGTGACATTTTAGGTCCAATGACTGCTGGAGAAGGCTCAGGGGGAATGGTCGTGCCATCAGGATTCCTCTTCCATCATAAATAAATTGTTCAGGAAAAAAACCCACACCTGCAGGATTATTTTACTATAGGAGAAGTGAAATACAAGTCTCCAGTTAAGATCTTGAACCCTTGCATGTCAGGTAGACCTGCTGTAAAAAACCCAAGAAAAAGCCCCCACCCAGACAAATAAGCCACTCAATTTTTTAAAATATAATTGGAGTCTGACCTACTCTGCTTTAAGTCACTGTTTTTCATCTCATAACTATGATCAATGCAAAAGGAGTGAGTGAAATAGAGTGATTTGAACTTTAGTACTGAATTACTGTGAATGAAATTAAGTAAGCATGGCACTGCAGAAATATATAATGTACAGCTAATATGTCCCCCTTGGGTGCAAAACAACTGTTTATGAACCTGATACACTTCTTTAGTAATGTTCACCATACCTTTTTTTTTTTTTTTTTCAATAACTAGCTGTGTATAATGTTAAACATTGTATTATTTTTTTTTGTTTTTGTACAAGATGGTCCAAAATGGTCATAAAATGCGTCTTTTGTTGTATAAAAGTTTGAAGCAGAGGAGAAAGGTTTTGATTTTGTGTGTGTGTTGTGTGTGTGTCTGTTTTGTTTTACATGGGATACAATAAATACCCTGAAAAAGACGAATGAACGTACTGCCCGGCATAGAGTCCTGCCGCCTGCTCGGATGGCATCTGAACGTAAACCTTGTCTCCGTGCATCAGCTGCACCACGGCACTGCCCGAAGCCTGGTCCAGGAAGCCCTTCTTGTACTCGTCGTAGGTGTACATGAGCGGCTCGTTGTTCTTGTACAGCGCCACCCACACGTTGGCGCCTTTACAGTGGACGTGGTAGGCGAAGTAGTAGACGCCGGGGATCTCGCAGGTGAAGATGCCCGTCTGAGGGTTGTAGTTCTGCCGGCCGTTGTACAGGAGCTTGTCGAACTTCACGGGCACCCCGACGCGGGGGAAGGGCGTGAGGAGCTCTGCCGTGAACGCGGGCATCTCGTAGACAATGCCGCCAGCCTTGCCTTTCTTGCCCTTGTAGCCGTAGGGGGGCTTCAAGCCTTCTATCCCTGGCCCCACCTCAGGCAGGTACTGTCCCACGGCTGGTGGAGTGGGCGGGATGATAACCGGGGGACCTGGGGGCCCGGGCGGGCCCGGTGGCCCCTGGAGCCCCGGCTGGCCGGGAGGACCGAGAGCCCCAGGCTTTCCCGGGGGTCCCTGCAGCCCCGCGGCACCAGGTTTGCCTACCCCCGGGAAGCCGGGGGGTCCGGGCATGCCTGGCTCGCCCTTCGCACCTGGCAGCCCGGGGGGGCCGATGGGACCGCTTGGTCCCGCGATGCCCGGGATGCCCGAGGGGCCCTGAAGGCCCTGGGCACCGGGGAGCCCGGGCTCACCCTTTGGTCCCACAAGTCCCGGGACACCCGGCATCCCCGGCAAGCCTTTCTGTCCGGCTTCCCCCTTGGGTCCTGTGGGGCCCGGCAGCCCGCGCAGCCCAGGGCCACCCACTTCCCCAGGAAAGCCTGGCTTTCCTGGAAAACCCTGCAGGCCGGGTTCCCCCTTGGGGCCGACTGGTCCTGGTGGTCCTACGGCACCCCCCTCCCCTTTAGGTCCTGGGAAACCGGCGGCCCCCGGAGGGCCCATGATGCCCGGCAGGCCTGGCTGGCCGGGCTCCCCTGGTGGCCCTCCCATGCCAGGTGGCCCCGCGTGCCCCTTCTCCCCCTTTGGCCCCAGGGGCCCAGGCAGACCGCCCACACCTCGCTCCCCTTTGGGCCCGGGGAAGCCCGGCTTCCCAATTCCGGGCAGGCCGGGGGACCCCGGCAGGCCTGGCAATCCCTGCTCCCCTTTACCACCTGGGAAGCCGGGCTGGCCAGGTATGCCATCCTGACCTGGTTTGCCAATGCCAGGTGAGCCGGGAGGGCCTTGGATCCCGGGGGCCCCTGGAGGCCCCTGCAGCCCTAACTCTCCTGGGGGTCCGGGTTTGCCCAGTGGTCCCTGCGGGCCAGGGAAGCCAACCATGCCGGGTTTGCCAACGCCTGGCAGCCCCACGGGGCCGGGGGGACCAGGCAGCCCAGGTGGACCCTTCAGACCTGGCAAACCCGGGATCCCAACCCCCTTCTCCCCTTTTGGCCCTGGGATCCCAGGGATTCCCGGTGGCCCCTTAATCCCAGGCTCACCCTTTGGCCCTGGTTGCCCCTGCAGCCCCGGAGCACCCACCTTCCCTATGCCAGGAAGCCCGTGAGGCCCTGGTGGTCCTTGCGGTCCAGGTATCCCCATGGGCCCAATCTCCCCCTTCGGCCCCATCTCCCCTCTTGGCCCTGGGGGCCCCATGACCCCCGGTTTTCCTGGCATCCCTGGCAAACCCGGCTTCCCAATTCCTGGGTATCCTTGTGGGCCTGGTTTTCCTTTGGCTCCTGGCACACCATGACCTGGTAATCCTGGTGGCCCTGGTGGCCCTCTTGGTCCAGGCTCACCCGGGGGGCCTTGCTCACCCCTCAGACTGCGCATGGGAATTTCTGGATTGGGAAGAAAAGAAGAAAGAGGAGAGAGAGAGATAAAAGGTGAGTGCAGTCACATTTTTCAAAAAACAGGCAGTTTTGAACTGAATATGCTTTTTATCATGCCTCGTGGTTTAGTGGTAGACAGAGACAGCTACTGAGTTACAGGTTGGTGTTGAGAATGAAGAGGATACTGTTTTTCATACTCCAAACTTCCATGCATGCTTCTGCTTCCACAAAGTAATTACTGTGCATCATATGTAAAAGCCATTTGGGCTTTGGTGGTGTTTTCTACCTATACAATCTTAAACACCAAAATCTGCATTTTGTCCCATGTTGCTGTAGATCAATCTACCTGTAGGAGTTTTTGCAGGAAACTCGGTGCTCTCGTGCTGTGGGAGGAATCTGCAGCCTTAATCAGTATTGCTATTTTGGCATAGCCATGTCTAGTTATGGCTCTTCTAAATACTTTGCAAAAGGTTTGTATTGTCCAAACTCACATTTTGGTGTATGTGACCACTTATCATTACAGGTCAGGGTGGGGAAGTTGCTGCTGGGGTTGGTTATTTTTCAAACTGCTGCTTTTTGGGTACCTGGAAACTCTTTCCAGCTCTAAAATGTGCAAAGAAGTGAGAGATTTGTGGAAGGACAGGAGATGAGGTTTCAGGACAACTGTTCTTTGGGAGGCAGAAACCTTCCCTGTCTGTATATGTTGTGTTTTATGCACATCAAAAATCTTTGCTCATGAGATAGGTTGATTTTACTATAGCTAGTGGTGCTCATTCAGACACTCCAACAATAGGTTTTGAAATCTTCCATTTTCCTCTGAAGTCAGGGGAGGCTGTGATTAGCTGGGGCTTCAGTAAGACAAAGTTACCCAGTATGTCTGCAATTGCACAGACACTGGTGGTCCTCACAAGGATTTTATGACACTGGGTGTTCCTGGTCACCCTTTGTATTTTGTACTTTTTTCATGTTTTCTTAAGTATCTTAATACTGTCCAGACTTTCTTTACTGAATAGGGAAAGTGCTTGTACGTGCAGACTTGTGCATTAATCCTCTGTCTCTATTACACCCATAAATAACCTATAGAAAGAGAACTCTAGAGTCTGAAGAGCAGTTGTATATTTTTATATGCAAATCTCAAAATCACAGGGTCTGGACAAAGACAAAACAGTGATGTTCCCATAAATTCAAATCTTGGGGCTCTTAGTTCATATGTCTGCTTGTTGCAGTGAGAGTGGGAGAAGATCCAGACAGGGCCATCATCTGAAGGAAACCCCATCAGAGGGTCTCCTACAAACAGGTGTGATGACAAAGTTTTTCCTGGAGTTGAACAGCACCTGAGCACACCTGTGTGCTGGAGGCTCACTGCAGGTAGGACTGCTCAGAGGTGTGCTGCGGCTTAGAGAATAACTGTGGTCTTGTGCTGGTGACCCTGAACTGCCCCACAGCTCCAATGAACCTGTTTTGTCCACCTGTAGCCAGGTATGAGCTTGGCCACAGGTGGACAAAAGCACAAGCACAAGAGTGCTGTGCCCAGCCTGCAGCAGCAGTCTGCTCCAATGTCCAATTTCCCCACGGCAAACAGATGGGACCAAGCAGGAGTGGAGACGGACGTGCTGGCCCACCTTTCTCTTTCTTGGGAGCCATATCCTTGCCGAGCATGGGCATCTGCGGGACCTCCTTCCTGTACTGGGGCAGATGGGGATACTCCTTCCCATAGGGCATGTGGGGCACCTCCTTGCCCAGGTGCTGCATCGGGATGCCTTCTTTGCCCAGTGCCATGTGAGGTACTTGTTGTCCGAGGGGTTGGTACTGGGGCACCTGAGGTGGCAGCTGCTTGATCCCATAGTAGGCTCCACCTTGAGCAGACCTCACCAGCTCTAGGTAAACAGTTACAGCCACTGCCAGCAGCTGCACAGGGAAGAGCAGCATGACCATCACCTGTGAAAAGCACCACAAAACACGCAGTTGGAAGAAGATGTTTTTTCATGTTTTGCATTCCCCATTAGGGCAAGCTGTTCTCATTTTCTGCAGCAAACTAGACCTAAATCTTTGCAAAGTGGCCCCGGGTTGTGTGCTGCCCTGGAGGATATCCTGCAGCAGGCTTGTATCTGGTTTATTGGAGGCTCTACTCAAGCAGTACTATTACAGCAAATGCCCTTTTATGTTTTACTTCTATGCCACCCCAGAGGAGCCCTCTGTGGTTACTCCACACAGGGGCTTGCTCCCAGTTTGCTGCCTTCTCACCTGTGTGAGTGCCACAGCTTTGAGGAGCTCTGCTGCAAGCTCTGGCACAGGGGAAGAGCAGGCAGGGGATGTGGGGATCTCCAAAATGTCTTCTGCCCAAGGAAGCTGTACTGTCAGTTCCCCTTCTGCTTTCCACAGCAAGGAAAGCTTTGTTTCTGAGCTTCTGTCTGTGCCTGGGATTGTGCCCTGTGGCTGCAGTGTCCAAGGGCTGTCTGCTTCTATCACAGCAGCTCCTTGCCAGCTCTCCTCTTAGCTGGGCTGGGATGCTCTCAGCCCCCTTGCAGAAAAAGTGGGCCTGCTTAGGCTGCCACCGCTCCAGGTAGGATCAGCCAACCCAAGCCTTTCTCTGGGAATGTTCAAATATTTTCTCAAGGTGTCCCCCACTGCAGATCCTGGCCCACTGCAAGGCAGCCCATCCCAGCATCTCATCAATCCTGCTAACACAACAGAATGGGGTTGGGGTTGCTTTCTTTTACTTTATCAAAATGTTAGCTTGGGACTTCTTGTCCCACCTGCTGTTGGCTTTACCTTTTGCAGTTAAGGGCATTACCATCAGCTGAGCAGCAAATTAGGAACCAGGAACTCCCTCAAGTAGTGCAAATTAGGGGAGAGCATGTGGTAAAAAGAGACTCTTTGTGTTGGAATATTTGCCCCACAACCAAATTCGGCATGCAAGTCCTGTCCTTTCCAAATACACATGGCAATTGCCAAGCCTGATGGCTGTTGCTGCTGTCCCTTTTTTCTACCATGCAAAGATGCCTTGCATCCAAATGTACCCAACCTGGGTGCATTTCTAGGTCATTTGTACTCCAGAGCTTTGCCAAACTGCTTATCAGGACTGGCTCCCAGAAGCTGCTATGCTCTGGTGTGATGAGGGCAGCTGAAGAGACAGCAAGGGCATTGCGTCACCTGCTTGTTTTCCTGTCCTCTCCCCAGCAGCCTGGCTTGACACAGAGGACAAAAAAAGTACCTCAGTCTATAGAAAAGGGGTTCAGCACTGTGCTCTCATGTCTGGGAAGTATTGTTTATGGGGAGAAACTTTCCCCTATGTGTCCTTCAAGTTTTATGTTTTACTCCTCCTTGAAGTTTTCCATTCACTTTGTGTTAGCAAAGCACCTGGGAAACCCTTGCTACTCTTTTCAAACATTTTCCCTTCATTTTGCTTTAGGAGATTTAATCTCTAAATGGAAATCCGTGTATAATCCTTACTGAAGGTGTAAGTGGAGGCTAGATCAAAATGGTGTAGTTGAAACAAGTAGAAGGTTATTTTCAACAATGATCATATATAGACGTATGAACTACAAAAGAGATGGAAACATGTTAACAGCAAACCAAACCTTTTTAAGAAAATTAAATACTATGAATAAACACTAGATGGAGCATATGCTGCACAGCTGAGTTTCTACAGTCACTTTCCCTGCCAGGAATTCTTGAACATAACCAGCTGCCATGTGGCAAAGAAAACCAGAGCCAAGATGTACAGGAGTTTGTAAAGTCCAAGCACAGTCGCACATCCTTGTTCAGCAAAGCATTTCAGCAAATGCTTCTCCTCCAATGAGTTTAATGTGGCTTTTAGCCCACAGCTGGCTGTGCTGCTGTGAGCTAAAGGATTAGGGCCTTGGGATGTGGTATTTCTGCTTAAAGCTCAATGGTGAGCTTTGGAGTGGGAGGACAGCCTGTGCATGATCAGTTATTGTGGCTTGGCTGCGCTGGTGTGACTGAACTAACCCACTGCAGCTCATTTGGGCACATGGATCCTAAGCAACATTTTGTTTTTTTTTTTTTTTTTTTTGGGGGGGGGGGGCGGGGTGGGGAATGGGGGAGGCAGGAATATGTCCCCCTTGTCTTCTTGGTCTTCCTGCTCCTTTCCGTACAGGAGTAACTTGCAAAGCTTTGCCTCTCTGTAGCTGAATAGGGTAATGCCTGCCCAAGTTTGCGGGGAAAATCCCAGTTACTGGAAAATTTGCACTATTCTCTGCATCTCTCTCAAAGGAAAAACATTATCTGTATGAAGGGAGAAATGCAGTGAAGCCTTTAAAAAAATTGTAAAATACTGGATGATATAGGACTGTTTTTGAAACCTGTTAGTATGAAGGGCAAGATGGATTTTGAAGAATGAGGTTATTAAATGAGCGTCTTAGCTGCTTTGTTGTTCTGCTGGCCAGTTTTGGGGGTGTTGTTTTTTAAAAAAAAAAATATAACTTCAGTGGAATAAGTAGAGGAAGAAATAGGTAAAATTCCTTTGGATGAGATTTTCTCCTTGTTTTTATTACAAAACATGGACTTTGTGTGTGAGTGGGAGGTATTTGAAATAATTGAAAAAGCTTTCCTACAGGGAGACACCAGCCTGCCTGCAGCTCAGGGTGAACTTAGCCTCCTGCTGCTCGTGCCAGGCTGGCCTGGCCCTGCCAAACATCATGCAGCACACCTGCACTGGAACAGGCACGGCCAGGAGGTACACGAGGTGGTTTTGTGTATGCACATGGACATTTTGAGGGAGATCAGGCAAGACTTCTAGAGATAACAAGGCTCCAGAGAAGGGGGTGATCTCACCACATCTGTGTTTCCTGTAGTGTTTTTTGACTCATCCATAACCCAACCAGTGTGGCCTGGAAATGACAGATTGCTTCTCATCTATTGATTTTAGCTGGAGTTGTGAACTAGCTGAGGTGGAAGGTGGGGGTTTATTTACTGAACAACCTTGGGCTAGATGGGACTTGGCTGACATCTTTGTGGGAGGAGGACAGAGCCTGCCCTGTGGCCTCGTGAGCTGTCTGGGGCTTGGGGTCTGCCACAGGTACTGGAGACACAGCCTGTGTCTGCTCAGCTCATCTCCCCCTGCTCCCAAAGGAAGGAAGGATCAGACAAAATTAGTCTGGATGAGAGATGTGGTAGAGTCATATGTGCTGCTGCTGGATTACTGCTGTCAGATACCATCCCTACAGGGAAAGCCTGCCCAGAAGCATGAGTGATGCCAGGGATAGTCCTCAGAGTTTCTGCTTATTGCCTCTCATCCTGCTCAGCTTCTCTAAAAAGTTATTTATGTACTGAAAAAACCTGAAGGTTTTTTCCTGCCTTGCTGTTTGTTTCTGAATGCCTGGGTGCACAACTCTAGTTTGAAGACCTCATTAGGAAACCACAAGCATCTTTAAATGCCTAAAAGCTACTGAAAATCTTGCTCTTGGTTTTAAAAAGAAGCCTAGAGATCCCAAATGTTGGACAGGCTCTCCAGAGCTTCTGAACAGAAAAAGGAGATGTTTTCCTAGCAGTGACAGAACTCAAGGAAAACAGAATGAGTAAGAAAAAACCTGTGTTGATGATGCAGCCGAAGTATAAAACTTCCCACCCCCTTCACCTAGATCTCAGCAATTTAGGGATCACCTCCAAATCCATTCATGTAATGCAATCTAACATGCTTTCCAAGGTGACTGGAGCAATAATTTGGTTTTGGATTGAGATTTTCCAGGGTTTTTGTCAGAAAGCATTAGGAATGTGTCTGTGTGTTTGTTGCATAGGTTAGTAAGTGCATGAGTGCACCTTTAGAGAAACCAAGGTCTTGGAGAAAGCAAAGTTTTACTGTAACTTTGGGTGTTGGAAGGAAGATGGAGGAGAGGAACCACTTAGCCTTCCCACAATGACATGTCATTTTGCACTAGTCATTCAGATTAAGCCACAACAAACATTCTGCTTTACCTAGGGTGGGACAAGACACTTGAGGGTGAAGGAACATTATCCTAAACTACAGTGTTCAGTTGCTTGTGTGTGAAGGCATCTGGTTGGCTCTGTGGGTGAGAAAGAATCCCTGAAAAACCACATTTTTACAGGCAAAGCTTGAGTGAAAACATTTCTCAATCATCTCTTTGGTAGAGCTGTTCTCCTGAGAAAACTCTAAAGGACCTTCCTCTGGCTATTTGAGTTTGTCAGCAGAAACAGGAGACAAACAAAATGTACCAGCAGTCATAATTCTTAAATTGGTGTGAAGAAATAATGGCTGTTTTAGCCTAATTATGTAAAGAATGTATGGAAAGAGTGATGCCCATCCGCTTGGGATTTGAAATCATAGGTGGTCTTGCAAAGAGTGGAAACTAGACCTTGATTTATTGGTTCTTACAGGAAAGTCATCACTCTGCAACCAACGTTGGGTTGTCTGAGAACTTCTAAGATACTCACCCAAGGACTACCCCAATGGGCTTAACTTACCAGCCCTTGCTTTTGAATTGCTGTATTTCCCAAACAGGCATAAGGCATGAGTAGATCTCAGTGATATGAAGTCTTTTCCCTGCAGTCCCTTCCATATGGGCTGCTTGAAGCTATAGGCACCAGTTCCCCACTGCACTGGGGGGATGGCTTTGCTAGTGCTCTGGTTTCCACATGGACAATGAGTGCTGCAAAATAAAAATCCTACTGACTCAGGAGATTTTGTTCCCAGAAGAGTGCTACAAAAAAAAAAAAAAATTGACAATAAAAAGCTAAATTTTCCAGCGTGTTTTTGTCTTGAGATCAGAAGTGGTTAGGGTGACTTTTGGGGTGATCTTGATAACAGATCCTATTACCAAGTATCTACAATGGTGTATCCACAGGAACAGCATTATACACTTAACTAAAGTGTCTGTCATACAGAGACATGCAAGAGCAGTATAATGCAATGGAAATGGCAGAGTGTTGAGGTGCATAAGGAGCAGCCCCACTGCATTGCAGAGAGCTGGTGGGTGAGGTGTACAGCTGCTCTCTGGGGGGTTTCCACTGGCTGGCCCCAGTTCATACACAAAGGTACGTGGCAACTCAAGAGATGTCACAGAAGGGCTTGTAAGAGAGAACTGAAGTCCTCACAAAGTGACAGCACTTTTTTTTTCCCTGTTTTCGTTTTTAGTGCTACTTTGGGAACAAGTACCTGTCCTGTCCCTGCTTTCTACATACAGATCCCTTAAACCACTGGTTGATTTGTGCTCACAAACATGTGAACCCCCCCACCACATACATGTCTTTCTTAAGGTCTCCACCACTTGAAAAGCATTGCATTAAGCACTGGGTTTATAAACTGGGGATGGGGGTGTTGGCATTTGTAAACTAATTCTGTTAGCTAGCTACCTTTTTTGGAAGAATTCTCAGCACAAAAGTAGAAGAGCAGCTATCTAGGCTTTAGTTCCTGTAGTGAATGAGCTAAGCTATTCCAGTGAATAGCTGTTGTGACTTCAAGGGTGGGGTGTTTTCAGATGTGAGAATCAAGCAAATATTGATTGTTGTCAGCACTGGTGCTGCAAAGTGTACCTGACTTGAGCAGTGAATTTCCCAGCACATTATTGTCCACAGTTTTCAAAGACACTATTTCAAAACTTCATCACAGCCTAAATTCATCTCTGGATCATTAACTCCTTTGAGGACTAACCTGTCCGTACTGTATAGAGACTGAATTTTAGTGGAAACTTGTGTTTTCAGGGACAGGAAAAAACAAAACCTTTTGCATGACAAATAATTTTGTACATGCTCAAGAGCCATTTAATGCACACATTGCCACACTTCCTTCTGTGCCAAATGAGTCTTTATGTCATTTGGACATATGTTTTCCAGTTTGCCAGCAAACTAATTAAACACCAGTGTAGGGGGTTTATTTTTTTTGCAAATTCAATCATATTTCACATAAAAGCAGGGAGTGAAGGCAACCAAATATACCTTGAGATGTATTTCCTCTGAAAGCTAACCATTTTGTAACCCAAATTAACACTAGCTGCACTGATTTAATCTTATTTCCAGCAGTGAAGAGCAGGAGGGCAGTAAAGCGGAGCACAGTCCCTGGGCGAGGACCCAGCCATGCTACTGGTACGAGATGGTTGATCTATGCCCCAGCAGGTTTTGGGGTCCTGCACTATTTTGCTTGTAACCGTGCCTAAAGCTTCACTGAAGGCGATACCTGTTTCTTGAGCAGGTGAAGAATTTACCTTGCTAAAGTGTCCATAAGAGCCTGTTCATTCAGTAGGGAAGAAAGTAGGATTTATGGTAAATGTAATCCTGCCTTTTTGCTTCTTGAGAAACTCTCCCACAGAGATCAGGTTTATTTTTTTTCCTCTCCCTCCTTTTCACTGTCCCCTCCAAGGAAACAAAGTAGTCTCAAGTGTCTGTGTTCAGTTTAGATTACCAAGAAATAGCTATTGTTCAGCATGTTAAAAAGAAATTAAATCATATTTTGCTCCAGGTCTAACAACTGTGTCTGATTATCATTGGTATTTACTAAATCTAAGGCAGTCATAACAAGTATTGTCATAATAAACATTTCAAAATGCATGCATGCATAAACCTGCTGCTAATGGAGAATATTCAACACGTGGCAGATGCTTGTTTCTACGTTTTTTAAAATTCAAAATGGTGCCTAGAGCTTCTTTTTTAGAGAAGTGTGATAACATCTAAATAAATGGCTTCATCCTAAAAACCAGTGGTCATCCATAAGCTATCTTTGGCTTCAATGGTAATTACATGATCTTTTCTTGCAATGCCTGGGGAGGTCTCTGTTTATCCATTTATAAATGCATTTGCAAAAACAAAACTCTTGCCTCTGCTCCAGTTCGTCTGCAAACACATTCATGTGTGTGCTCATTCTGGATGATCACCCAGCCTTCTGTATGAAAATGGCACCCTTGGGCTTCCCCAGTTTCTTACTTCCAAACAGAGTATATCTGCAGGTGGACCTGTATCTGTTGCTTGTGTGCAGGTATTTGTATATGCCTATGTGTGAAAACACACCCTGGCAGTGGAAGCAGTTACAATGAGAAGGAGATTTTTAGCTCACACAGACATAATTATGTTGCCTCTAGTCTTCTCCTCCTGCCCAGTCTGCTGTGAGCCTACCTATGCGGGCTCAGGTAGACATCTCCTCATCTCTCTGCAAATTTGGGCATGATGAGTTTTGCATCATCACAGCCCTAACTCCCATGCACAGGCCTCTGCTGGCTCAGCACAAGCACAAAGCTCACAATTTATGATGGTATTAGGATGCTTGGTGCTGGTAATTGATTTCCAGGTGGCTTCGTCTCTTGCGTGTTTTTGAGGATCTGGCCCAGACGCTGTTTGCTGGAAAATGCCTGAAAGCTACTCTGAGTCAGATGGCAGGGAGCCGTGACAAGGATCAGCAAGTTGGGCACCACGGGCCGGGTGACCACAGTCCCCGGGGACGTAGCTCTCTTGCCTGGTGGCATGTACTCGTTTGCACGAATCGATGCCTGACCTCAGGCTGGGGAGGAAGGTCCAACGTGGGGGAATGTTTGCAGAAAAGCATGCGACTTTGATTATGGGATTAGAATTAATTATAGGTAGGATTTAGCAAATACCTGCCTTTGAATATGTTTTCCTGTTCTCTGCCATATGGCATGCACTCAAATCCTCTGCCTAATGCTCTCTTCTGGACAATCTGCCTGCAGTCTTGGTGACAGGCAGATTTGATGGAGAC